TCTGCGAACAGCGGCACTCTGTACTGAGCGCTTTAATTTTTGACACAGTGACAGACAAATAACACAGAGCTCAATGGTGGGGTGGGGATTTTTGGCCTCGTGTTGAAGTTACACCGGCTAAATAGGTTGTTTGGTTTTAAGCCCTGGACCTAGTAAGCCGTCTTTATTTGCTGCTTCATGCAATTTGGTTTCACATGTCGCTCTCTGCTTTCAGCACGGCAGATAAGATACCAACACAATTAAAAGTGAAAAACAATCTGCCTGCCCTGCCGGTGGTGAATGCTCGGAGAACACACGCTGATACAATAGATTTCTGAATAATTTATACTCGGCGTTTTTTCCTGCACTCGGCAAATGAGGACGCCTAATGCGGCATGGTCAGAAGGATACTCTGTCTGTCATCCATTAAGATAACAAGATTGGTGGCCAGGGAGGGGCAGGGCTCGCGGGGCAGGAAAGATGAGGTTAAAAACTGAAATGTGGGCCCAAACTGTTGTGTGTAAAGGGTGCCGATTACAGCAGCTTGGAAAGGGGGCATTAATTCCGAAGTGTGACATCTGCAAAGCTCCGGTTGTCTTCTCAAGAATAAAACCACGAGATACGTGTTTATTTCCAAAGCTGCAGATGGAAGGAATATTAGAGCAAATCAACTGTTCTTGATAGGTCTTCAGTAGCTTCCTTTAAATGCAGGTACTTTGTAGGTGCTGTCAAAAGCAAATATGTATCACTGAATTATTTTATGTTTCGCAGTTTGCTTTTTCTTTATATACATAATGCATTTTACATAACAAAGAATCATTTGCACTCGTTTTTGGCACAGGGGCATCTCTTCTGCCATCGCAGGCTGTTAATTTGGAAAGGATGTTAAAATATTTGCATTAAAGAATGCTCATTTGCATGTTCAGTACCTCAGCAGCCTAGATTCCTCACAAGGTGAATGCGTGACAGCAAATAACATATTGCTTGCTGTTAGTTTCTAACAAGAGCCAATAGCCACTTAAAGTTGATTAATTTATAAACAGCACTGGTTTGCTGTCTCTGAAATTCCTGCCAACTTCTTAAAGTTAAGATTCATTCAAACTTTTTGTTTTGCTTTTTTTCGAGGAGACTGTCAGGGTTGTGTGAACAGATGAGAAAGCACTTTGAGAAAACTTTAGCTTCTTTCTAACTTTGCTGTAGTGAACCGAGAGAGGAAGAAAAGATGCCTATAAG